GGCTGCCATCCCGCCAACGCCGGTTCACTGTTATCCCCCCTCTTGCTGCGCCGCTCGCACCCTTCAAAACCCTGAAATCCTCTCGCTGCCGCGCCCGACCCAAGGTCTGGACCCCTGGCGCCCCCCTAAACCCTAAACCCTGCACCCCTAAACCTTAAATCCTGAAACCCAAGCCCTAAACCCTGAACCCCCCTGACCCCTGCCCCCGCAGGTGCGGTTTATCGACGACGAGGAGCTGGCCTACGTGGTGGGGCGGGCGCGGGAGGTGCACGACTTCTGGCACGTCCTCACGGGCTGCCACACAAACGTGCGTAACACATGCGCGTCGTGCCGTTTGCGCGACCCCTCAAACAATCACAAACAGATTCGCGCCTTGCATCTACTGTCAGCCACCCCCCCTTGCTTGCCACGCGCACGCGCACGCGCACGCTCGGGTCAGAACGCCCAAGCTTTCTTGGACTGGGGCTGCTGGGCGGTTTTTGTTGCGGACGCCGGAGTATGCGAAGGGCAGGGGCTTGCACGGCTGGGCAGGCGTTTCGTTGCCGGGACGGGCAGTTGCGAGGGGGACCCCGGGGGTGGGCGGAAGGGGTTGTGGGATGAGGGGTTGGTGAGCGACTTGGGGCCGTGCGAGTGGGTGTTGGCTCTGACGCGTGCACACGCGCGCGTGCGTGTGTGTGTGTGGGGGGGTGCGCGTGGGTGTGTGTATGTGTGTGTGCCTGTGTAAGCAGGGGCCTAGGTTGTCATAGCAAAGGTTGCCTGTCATCTCCATCATTGGTTGGTCAAATCTAGCTGACTTGTACGATATCGCATCCGCACGTTTTCCACAACCCGGAACAGGTGTTTGGGGAGATCGCGCTCAAGGCGCTGGAATTTGTGCAGACGGGGCTGCCCATGGCGGGCCTGGCGGTGGCGGGGGCGCAGTTCAGGCTCGGGCAGGAGGACAGGCGCCTGCTCTGGCAGGTGCGTTGACGTCACACACACGCAGACGCACACACGCACGCACACGCGCGCACGCACACACGCGCGAATGCGCGCGCGCTCTTTCTTTCCCCCCTTTTCGGCGGTCAGAAACCGCCTCCCTCCACCCCCTGACCCCAATAACAATACGCGCACAGGCAATCCCCCCTTTTGCGCTGCGCTGATGCCGCCCTTATCACAATGCAACCCCCTTTTTCGTCTGATGGCGTCTTTTCTCCACCCAACACCACAATCCATGATCGCAACAGCCCCGTATCTTCGCATTCCCTTCGCCCCCGCCCCGCTTGTGAATTCAAATTGACAGGTGTATCTGCCGTGGGCGGCGCGGACGGGGCTGCGGTGCGCGGACCTGGTGAGCATCTACTACGAGAAGCATTTTGAGGAGGACCTGGATGAGCTGAGGCGCAGGTGAGATCACCAGATAACCAGATCACGAGATTACTCAAAGGATTGCTCGCAAGGCCTCCAGGTCGATGACAGGCAGGGGGGGAGGGGTGAGGCGTGGCCTTGTCACGCCCGACGCTCAGCGGCGTGCGCGTCGGCTCCAGAAACCTGCAGCTTTCACCGTGGCGGCTGCATCGTTTGACCGACAGCCGTGCCTGTTCAAAACTTGACCAGCCGACCTGCGAAAGCGGTGTCGCGACATACACGGCTCTCTGACTTCCGGGACATCCCTGACATAAGTAACGATCAAGATCGAGACTTGTGTGCGTCGCCGCCCCCCCATCCCCTGTCATCCTCACCGCCGCAGGTGGCGCATCACGCCCGCGCCGCCGCCGCCGATACACCTGGCGCCGTCAGCGGCGCGCGGCTGACCGTTGTGGTGTCGACGTTGATCGTTGAATTTTTTGTTCACGGACGCGCGGTACATTTGAGCGACCCTGCCTGCAGAGATTAGGCTGCGTGCTTGGAAAAGATGCTGCTTGCAAGCTGCTTTTAGTCTTGGCCTCTTTGGCCTTCATCAAGCTGTATCTTCGCCCCTCCCCCAAGGGTGGACGCGGCAAGCACGCGCGCACGCATGCATGGCTGCGGGTGGCGCGATTTGTATCAGATACCCCTTGTACAGTCCAGACCGCGACCATGTAAAAATGTCTAGTGGTCGGCCGCGAGGGGTGACGCCCCGCGTTGCTGAGTCAGCACGCGCCAGGAACGGCGCGCTTCCTCCCCGCATTCACATCGGGGGCGCGACGGGCACCCCACTCTCCGCGCCGCCGCCGCCAACGCGTCGAGTCGCGGTACCTGCGGCGGCGCGGGGTGGGCGCAGACGCAGACGCGGAGACGTGCGCGCGTTTGGCTGCGTGCGGCGCACGTGCCCGGGTGCCCGCCACTCGCTCCCCTCTGAACCAATTCGAACGGTCGAGGTTGCACGCTCTTTTGCCTCTCCGGCCGCGTCTGTGCACGCATGCTCGGGATCCCTTGTCGCTGCATGCGCAAGACAGGACGGGCCGCGCCGCCAGCTTCACTGCGCGCGGGCCGCTCCGCCCCGCCCGCGCGCGCGCAGGCGCTGCACCCTCGAGCAGGCGCAAAGCTTTCCTCTGCCCGGCGCCCGGGCCTGCTTTCCGTGCTGCCGGCGTGCCTGGCGGCCGCGGCGCTGCGTGCTGCGCGGTGCGAGCAGCGCGTGCGACCGCGGGGCGCTGTAACAATCCCAGATTCTGATTCATGTGAGTGGGGTGGCTGCGCTGCGCCGCAGCAGGGCCGGCGCTTCAAAGCCTGCCCGGCATGCGCCGGCTCGGACAGCTCGTTTTACCCGACCCGCAAGCGCTCTTGTTAATCCAATAACAGCAGCGGTCTCAGGATTGTAACACTCCAGACGGACTCACGGCGTTTGCGCAGTTGCCCCGAAGCTCCCTGCCCCAGCATCTGATGCGGCCTGGCGAAAAAGGTGCAGGGTGACCTCATAGGAAAGCTCACCTGTGGCTCGGGATCCAGGGGCGCATGCTGTGAATCTGATCCATATATTTTTTGTATGGCACTTTATACCCTTGATAGCGACATCTTCGGTGCTCCACGTCGCGCAGATCAAAAAAGTATCTAGATCCGCCAGCTTCGTTGACAATGCAGACGCTCGCGGGAAGACCTATGGCGCATCGCCATAAGCTGGCAGCCGCTGCCGGCCGCTGCGGAGCGCCGCGCCCCAACGCCCTGGCAGGTGCGCCGCCCCGTCTCGCCTCATGGCAACCGCAGCTGCCGCCTCACGCCGCATGCATATCCAACCCCATTATCACATTCAAATCGCCGCCCCTGCCTTCCACTCGCTTCGCCCCCTCAGCCCGCCGCGCCTCGCGCGCCGCGTTGCCGCGCCCGCGGGCCTACCTGCCAGCCTCGGCCCCCACCGCCGCCGCCGCCGACACTGCCGCCGCGTTCAAGCGTCTGCAGAACGGCAGCGACATCCGCGGCGTTGCGCTGAAAGGCGAGCGGCGCCTGGGTCGACGCGGCGTTTGACAGAGCCCGATGCATCATCGAGTGCCAACATCCGAAAACTGCTGCTGGAACCCCCATTTGCTAAACAGACATGTCCAGTCACGCCCTTCCCCTCCCTGCCCTCCCCCCCATGGCACCTCCCCTCCAAAA